TTTGTAAAATCCTACATCAACATATTTTTTTAATCAAAACTTATAGTATCAAATTTTTAATTTTCAACCAAAATCAAACAAATTCATTATCTCGATGCAATTACATCAACCAATAGATGGACATTGAAAAAGTGATCCATTAATAGTAATTTAATATTCGTCTATTCGTTTATAATCTTTACATATTTATATTTTCGTCTATCTAATTCAAAAGGTTTATATTGCTCATTTTTAATAATTATAGACTCTATCACTAATTATTAATATTTTTTGTATTTATTTACTTTATTATTTTCATTTTATTATACACTAATATCAAAATGTAAAAATAATTTGGTTATTATATTATTATATATATTCACTATTATTAAAATACTCATATTCCTTAATTCGCATGTAAAAATATAAACATAAATTTTTAAGCTCGACGAAGAGAGTAAAATATAATAAATTTTATATTCAATTTATTAATTTTAAATTATTACCTTATAGAAAATGACATAGTTTAATAGGATAATTAAGAAATAAGAATGAATAATCTTGTGACATGGAGATAGTATTTATTTATAGCAAATCAATCATTTTTTTTTTAATTATTTCTAAAGAATGTCAAATTACAAATAAACAAATAAGAAGATTTTAAAGAACTACATCCACTTTAAATAATAATAGTCTTACGATGTATTGTGAATTTGTAATCATGAGATCATGAGTTAAAATTAAATTTTATATATCATAGATGTGAAAAATAATTTCGGATTCTCACCTCAAATAATAATAATAATAATAATAAGAAGAAGACAAGCACATTATATAATTTATAAATATAGGATGTATATTTATTTTTTTAAAATAAAAATCAATATTATTTAATCTGCGCAATTTTTGCATAAAAATTAATTTCTTTTGTTCCAATTTATTGTACTCATTTTTATAGTTTTTGTCTTTCTAATTAAAAAATATATATATTTATTTCTAATTATTATAGTAAAAGTAAATATATAAAAATAGTAAAATATTTCTAATATTTACAAAAAAAAAAAGTAAAATATTTCTAATATTTACAAAATATTTTTTCAATGTATACTGTAAAAACAAAAATATCAATGATCTTATACACTTCTATTAACCAATAAAATAGTATTATATTTTAATTTACTGAAACCAACAAATATATATTTTAAGTCCATACAAAAAGAATATTATTTTATTTTATAAAATGTCACGTCAACATATTATTTAAATTAAAACTTTGACCAAAATTTCAGTTTTTAACCAAAATTAAATAAATTCATTATCTCTATCTTATCGTATCAACCAATGGATTGGCTTTGAAAAGTGATCCATTGCACGTGTTTTAATGATATAAATAAAAGTAATTTAATAGAATACAATTAATAATAAATTCAATTTATTAATTTTAAATTATAACGTTAAAGAAAGTGACTTAGTTTAATGGGACAATTAAAAACTAACAATGAGTAATCCCGTGGGATATAGAAAGTATTTATTTATTTATAGCAAATCGATAAATTATTTTATTTAAAATTTTTATTATTTCTAAATCACATCAAAATACAACTAAACAAATAAGACGATGAGTCCTGTAGAGGATGGCCTGGTGGTGTAGGGGTTGGACGTGTGATATTAGGTTCGGCCGAGAATTTACTCAGTGCGCACTTTCGGGTAGCGGCTGCGGGTTCCCACATAATCCAAAAAAAACAAATAAGACGGTTATAAAGAACTACACCCAATTTAAATAATACTCCATCCGTCGTTCAAATCTATACTCACTTTCCTTTTTGGGTTGTCATTGAAAAATATTATCGTTTTCTTTTCAAATAAAAAATTATTATATTTTTGTATTTTTTTATTATAAAAGAAAAAATAATCATTATTACTCACTTTTATTAAAATCTGTATCCGATCAAATGAGAACATATTTGTACGACGAATGGAATAATAACTTTGTGACGTAGGGTAAACTTTGTATGTGTATTTTTGTTTTTCAATAAAATTATATATTCTCATCCCAATTCAATATATCCATTTTAACCTTTTTGTTTGTCACATTAAAGTACCTATTTCTTATTTAATTAAAGCAATTTATATATAAATATTAATATACTATAAACTTTTATGAAAGTATTTATTTTCTTTGTACTTGCAAAGATAAAAATATCAATATTAACTTACGCATTTTTACTAATAAATAAAATATTATAATTTTTAATCTATTATTAAATATATATATATATATAATTTAAACTAGTACATAAAAATATTATTCTATTTCACAAAATATCATATCAAAGTATTATTTACATTAAAATCTTATATCAAAATTTCGATTGTCAACCAAAATTAAACAAATCCATTATTTCTATCCCATTACATCAACCAATAGATGGTCATAAAAAATTGATACATTGCACATGCTCTAATTATATGAATATTTAAGTAATTTAATAAGATATAATTAATTTTTCATTTAATTTATTAATTATTATTTATTACCTTAATAGAAAATGACTTTGTTTGATGGGACAATTAAAAAATAATAATGCCTCATATGGTGATATGTAAAGAGTATTTCTTTATTTATAACAAATCACTCAATTTGTTTTTCAATTTAAATTTTTTACTATTTCTAAATAACATCAAAATACAAATAAATAAATAGAAAGATTTTAAAGAACTACATCTACTTTAAATGATAAAATCGTGAATTAGATTTTTTACTTACCACTCACTCTGCGGATTTCCACATCAAATAATAATAATAATAATAATAATAATAATAATAATAAGACAAGCACATTATGTAATTTATAAATATATATCGAACGTGCTTTTTTCAATAAATAAAATTAATATTATTTCATCCGTCAATTTTCAATAAATATATATATTCTTTGTCCCAACTTAATGTACCTATTTTACCATTCTGATCTATTACTAAAAATATTTATTTTCTACTATAGTAAAACTAATACATATATAAATATCAAAATATTCCTAATTTTTTTATAAAATTATTATTATTATTATTATTGTACTTGCAAGTGTAAAAATATTAATATCGTTTCACATACTTTCACTAAAACAAAAATTACCTTCGTCCGGCTTTAAGGATTTTATTTATTTTTTGTCTGTTGATATTTAAATATTACTACTTCCGTCCCACATAATTTGTCTTTATTTTCTATTTTTCTTCCGTCCCACATAATTTGTTTCTATTTTCTATTTTTCATCTGTCCCACATAATTTGTCCATTCTTTTTTTGAAAAAATAATTATACACTTTAATCATATTTTAAATATCATAATTTATAATTTTTTTAATTTTAATTAAACTATTTAGTTATTTTAATTTTAATATATAATTATTAATATCAAATAATATTAACTAATACACTTCTTAATTATTTCTTAATCATATTTTACCTAAATTCACGTATCTACAGTAACGTACTCAAAATATATGGGACGGAGGGAGTAAGTATTATATCAAAATGTAGTACAAATTAAGAAAATATTGCAAAAAACTTTCATTAGTGTCTTATAAAATTAATAAAATGATATTTGTACAAAAAATTATACAAATATAAAGATATTTTTAATATTATCTACAATGAAGCAAAAAATAAATGTGACCTTAGAGGCATAAGGATGGAGTGTAGTATAATTTTTTTCTTAATCTATTACATAAAATAAATATATATTTTGAGTCGAGATAAAAAAAAAATATTTTATTTCACAAAATATCACATCAATATATTATTTAAATATAAACTTATATAAAATTTCAATTTTCAACCAAAATAAAAAAATCCATTATCTCTATCCCATTATATCAACCAATAGATGGACATTGAAAAGTGATCCATTACACATGCTCATATGAATATAAGTAATTTAATTAAATATAAATAATGTTAAATTTAATTTATTAATGATTAATTATTACCTTATAAACAATTACTTAGTTGAATGGGTCAATTAAAAAAATAACAATCAGTGATCACGTGCGATATAGAGAGTATTTCTTTATTTGTAACAAATCAATCATATTTTTTTTTTTAATTTAAAATTTTTATTATTTCAAATCACTGTCAAAATACTGATAAACAAATAAGAAGATTTTAAATAGATATATTTACTATAAATAATAATAGCTTTGTGATGTGGATATGAATTTATGATAGTAACACCATTGGTTCAAATTAAATCTTATTTACCATACATTCAAAGAGTAGCTGGAGTTCACACATCAATTAATAAAAAAAATAAATAATAATAATAATAATAATAATAACAATAATAATAAGAAAAGCATATTATGTGTTCGATAAAGAATAACCTTGTGGTGTAAAGATTGACTCATTACCTGAGGTCATGGGTTTCAAGGACAAAAGTATCAGTATCACTACTAGAATTTTGTAAGAATGTCCCGGAAAATTGCCTCGGAAACACTTCCGAGTCTATTATAAATATTTTATTAACTTTATTTATTTTTAGTCTCGGTAAATCCGAGTCCATTGCTGGAGATTCCGAGCCTTACATAGAAAAGGTCTCGGCATTTCCGAGATCAGTGATTTAATATTAATTGGAATGAGAAGAGTCTCAGAATTTTCGAGGCTGATATATTTTTTCGATTAAAAAAGTCTCGGTACTTCCGAGGCTGGCATTTCCGAGGCCGTGTTTTATAGGATGATATTAATATTTTGAAACAAAAGTTTCGGAATTTCCGAAACTAATGTATTTTTCAATATCTTTTAGAAAAAAGTCTCGGCTTTTCCAACGCTAACGTATTATTTTTTAGAAGAAAAAAAATTTGGAATTTCCGATGCTAATTTTAATATTATTTATTTCAATACCTTGCCTCGGACTATTCCGAAGTAATATCTAAAGCCATTCAAAAAAAATCTCAGAATTTCTTAAGCAAGTACTTAAAATATTTAATAATTTTTTAATTAAAAGGTCTCCAAAATTCCGAAACTATTGTCTATTATTCCTCCTTGCAACCCTATCTTTAATTCTTCTGATTCTTTGGCTTCAATCATTCACTTGCCTTCGTTTCCACCGCCTTCCTCTTCATTGGCTTTGTAAGGTATCCTTTGTATAAAAAAATTATTTATTTCTAATATTTCTTTAGTTAGAATTTACACTATTTGGTTAGAGATTTAGTTACTCTTTAACATTAAACATCCAATGTTTATATATTAATTTATCGTTAAAGTTTAGCTAAATTCTTTTTATTTAGTTACTTTTTATTATAGTTAAAAATATATATTATATATTTTACTAATTTTTTTGGTTAAATTAATAAATAAAATGTAGTAATGTTATTTTATTGTTCAAATTGAGTTATGTTTTACAATTAGCTTTTAAAAATTCGAAAATAAATTTATATATTTAATTGAGTACAAGCATTTTTTATTTAAAATGCTACAATTGTTTTCCTAGTTTCACAATCATTTTATAATATTCACATAATTAGAATATATCTCTTATTAGTTTGTTGATTTTTTATATATCATGAATTGATTTTACATAAATATATTTTAGTGCATTTATAATTTGTCGAAATTTATAAAATTATCTAGATTATTAAATAAAGATTTGTTACATATTTTTTTTTAACTTTTTTAAGTCTATTTATTTTTTATTTAGATTATTTAAATATTTTAGAGATTTACATAATGTATTAGAATGCAACAATTTTCTATGTATTCTCCTAGTTGCAGGTATTATTTAAAAATTAAATATCATAACAATAAGCAACTCAATATATATAAATTTATGTAATCAAGTTGATTGTTTGTGGATTTTTTTTTTCAATACAAATTTTCTCTAATAATAACTACCGTGTTTGAATTTTAATTTATTAGATAATCAAATGCTTTTTCTTAATAGCATTACCTGACGTCCAATTATTTTTTTTACTGTTAATGTTCACAGTGCAAATGAACACCAACTCTCGAAGAGCATGGATGTATTCTAGGGAAGTTGAGGACCAAAACTTGTCCCCACAATTTGAAGCATGTGTGGCAGCATTTGTAGCATGGGCAAAAGCACAACACGGTTGGGTCGTCAGAGGAGAAATTTTATGTCCATGTTTGAAGTGAAAAAATAATAAATATAGAAGCCTCGAGGAAGTCACGGTACACCTACTCAGAAGGGGGTTCATTGCAAATAATCATATATGGTTATTTCATGGCGAGGTGTTGACATTTCCGAGTAGCTATAAGGTGGGAGTCAGATCCAACTATAATAAAAATGAAAGGCAAACCGATTGGCATCTACAGTTACGCCAGTTACTGCGAACGGCAGCGATGATGAGATCGAAGAGTTGCAGATTCTCCGTTTTCTGAACATTTAGATCAGGAAATGACATCTCCCAGATTAAGTAACGCACAACGGATGGCCGATAAACCCCTGTACGAAGGTTGTGTTGGTGAAACACAACTTTCAATTGTGATTGAGATGTTGCGCATTAAGGCACAAAACAACATATTAGATGTTGCATACGACGATCTGTGTAAAATGTCTCGGCGAGCACTGCCTGTTGGTAATAATATGCCAAAAGACTATTACAGCACACGAAAATTGACTTCAGATATGGGGTTTCCGACTCTGAAGATTGACAGTTGGGTGGATGGTTGTATGCTGTTTTGGAAGGACAAAGAGCAGTTAGACGGGTACGATTGTTGTGGCGTATCTAGGTGGAGAACAGGATCTTGGTGTAAGAAACTCCCAGCGTCACAGATGATCTACCTCCCATTAAAGCCACGAATTAAACAATTGTACGAGTTCAAAGAAACCGCGCATGCAATGCGGTGGCATGCTACCTACTCTAACCAAGACGGGCAAATGAACCACCCTTGCCACGGTGAAGTATGGAAACATTTTGATCGTACTCATCCGGATTTTAGTCGAAATCCTAGGAATTTGCGTTTTGGACAATGTACTGATGGTTTTGCACCGTTTAGTACTTATGGTGGGAATTACTCGTGTTGGCCCGTTATATTCTAACTCTGTACAATTTTCCACCTGGTACTTGTATGCAGAAAAAATATGTGTTTCTATCAGTGCTCATTCTTGGACCAAAGAACCCCAAGAAGCTCATCGATGTTTATCTTCAACCTCTTGTCAAAGAGTTGGTTGATCTTTGGGAAGAAGGGTACGTAATATATGATGTATACACAACGCAAAATTTTCGGGTGCGTGCTGCTCTACTGTGGACTATTGGTGATTTTCCTTCGTATGGTATGGTGTCTGGATGGAGCACGGATGGGATGTTAGAATGTCCTGTATATATAGATGACAATCCAACGCATAGACTACAATGAGGAAGAAAAGTTTGCTATTTTGATTGCCATCGGCGATATCTTCCATCAGATCATCCGTTTAGGAATGATAGTAGAGGATTTACAGGAGGAAATGTGGAGACTGATATGGCACGAGGTCGTTTGTCTGGGAGGTGGTATGGGAATGGCTTCGCATGATACCACGAGTTGTGAATGATCCACTTGGAGAACAAACACGGATATGGACAGGTACACAAATGGACAAAACAGAGTATTTTTTGGGATCTTCCGTACTGGAAAGACTTACTCATATGACACAATTTAGACATCATGGACATCGAGAAAAATATGTTCGATAATATTATACATATAATTATGGAGACACCAGGAAAGACGAAGGACGACATGTACACTCTTTGTTATCGGCCTGAGCTTTTGATTCCACCCGATGGGGATGGTCCTAAAAGAAAGGCTACTTATGCGTTCACTCGTGCACAATTGCGTTTGTTATGTCAGTGGGTGAGCTCCATTAAATTTCCAAATGATTATGTTTCGAATCTAAGGTGGTGCATCGATGCATCGGGGATGGGATTGTCAGAAATGAAAAGTCATGATGCACATGCATTCACGCAACGACTTATTCCTATTGCAACTCGTTTTATGTTGCATGACTACTTTTGGGAAGCATTGACTGAGGTCAGCATATTGTTCCAAGTACTATGTAGTAGTACTTTGTATCAGCAACAACTGCGTGAACTTACACAGTCTGCACCTCTTGTGCTATGTAAGTTGGAGAAGATATTCCCACACAATTTTTTAATACAATGGAACACCTAATTATCCATCTCCCAGAGGAAGCTTTACTCGCCGGTCCAGTGCACTAGATGGATGTACCCATTTGAACGGTAAATTTTCTGAGCATACACTATAATTGATCACTCTGATGATTTTCTGGGCAAGTCAATGATCATAGTCCTAAACAGTGTATATATTTCATATTGTAGTTTTCTTCATCACTTGAAGAAGAAGGTGAAAAATAAGGCCCACGTCGAAGGTCTATTAGTTCAATGTACTTTGTGGAGGAGCTTGCTGCTCTTTCAACTTTGTACTTTCAGAAAGAAGCATCATCGAACACGATTGACTTCCTAACACATTTATATATTTCTTTAATATCAAACTGGATTTTATATATTCTTCAAGTAGTTTATATTCATTTATTTGGTGTGTTGAATATTCATCACCAAATCCTTGCCACGATTTTGCCTCTTCAAAGAAATCTCAAATGGTAGAAGGGGGAGTAGAAAATTTTTCTCGAGGCTAATTGCGGATATTGTGCTAAATTATTGAGAGAATTAAAAATAAAAAATAAATTAAATTAAGAAACTACTCCACTATCCTATTATATCTCACTATCCCATTATTTTTAAAAAAAATAACTGTAATTGAGTAAGTGACATATATTGAAAAAATTGCATTAAAAAAATTGTAAAAATCTACAGAAAAATGAGAAATCTATGTCTTTTGCTATAATTATATATATATATGATATGATAGGATTCATGTTTCTTGCATTTATTGTATTTTTCAGAATACATATCAATTAAAAAAAGGAAAAACAAATATTAGTAGTTTGAATGTACACAAGTTTTCAAAAATATTATTAAAAAATTATGATTTATAATATATGTATATAATAATAAAAATCAACAAAATTACATAATACATCATTATCAATAATATTATCACCATTTTCCATACATCACAACTAAAATTATTAAAACTACATTATATATATATATATATATAAACTAAACAAATGCGTATATATATATATATATATAAACTAAACAAACGCGTTCATTACTTCTGTAGTCGATTCTGATTTTTTAAGGGCACAGCAAAATAAAAATTAGGACCTTTAAATATATTTATAAATAATATTTTTATTTATTATTGTTGAGCACAAAAAAATAGTGGATAGGTTTTAGAGAATGGGCCTGCCAAAATTAGGTTAAGATTTATTCGAAAAGTCTAGCGGGCTTTTTGAAAGTCCAAGTATGACTGCAATAACCGGGTCGGATGAGTCTAAGGTCGGATGTTAAGGTCAAACCTGGTCGGATTAATCCCAAACGTCGGACGGATGAGAAGATGGGACGTCGTCGGGACCAAATAAGTTCGGATATTTAAGTTGGATCTAATCGGGATAAATCCCGAAAGTCGGGTGTAAGAAGGTCTGTCAAGAGGAAGATCGGGCAAGGAGGAAGTATAGACAGACGCAGAGGTCTGTCAAGAGGACAGTCTGTCCTTCTGAGGAGATAAGACAAATAGAGCCGATCGGTTGTTCTGTGATCGGGAACACAGTTGGTTTGATTCTCAATCGGTTAAATAGGTCGGATGGTCCTAAGTCGGTTGAGCAGGTCGGGCGTCCCGCAGTCGGTTAAGTCGGGCGAAATGAAGTTGGGCAATGAAGTAGCATATGTAGGTCGGGTGAAAAAGAGCAGTTCTGGGGCGGTTGGAAGAAGTTGCAACTGGCGAACGGTTTTTGAAGGTCGGACGTGGTAGGACGATTGACACACGTGTCAATAGAGGAGAGCTTTTGGAGTGGATAACAGCGGTTATGGTAACCGACCAGATAACGGTTCGAACCGTTTTTTCAAGGGGTTATTTAAGGATCCGGTACTGTTCGAAAAAGAGGATCTTCAATCAACTTCAACTAAGCAAAGTCAGATTTGGGAATCACCATTTTATTTTCCAGTCTTTATTTTATACGTTCCTATTGTTATTTACATATTCTACGGTGTTTAGAGATTCATAATCTCAGGAATTAATTCTATCAAATTCGAAGATATTTCTCTATTTTCGGATTTTACTTTTTTATTGTTAAAAAATACATCAACAATTATAAAATATAAATAATAAAAATAATTTTTTCTAGTATTTTTTTATGCAAAAATATCAGTAACAATAATAATAATCTTACCTAATATTTTTTAATGTAAAAAAAAAAAGAAAAATCTTAAAACAAAAACAATGGCCCCTAAATATATATAATGATATATTTTCTTTTTACCTATAATTAGAATACAATTTTTTAAGTAAAACATTTTTTTAATATTTTTTAGATACAAAAATATCAATAATAGTAATATTAGTTGTCTAAAAAAATTTAAAACAAAAATAAGATACCATATATATAAATACTATATTGTTTACCTATAATAATATATATATATATATATATCTATACACAAATGCACGAAAGAATATTTAGAAAAACTTCAAAATTTAAAAGCAAGGAGATTTAAACAAAAATCTCACAACTACCTAATTTTTTTTAATTTTTAAAATCTTTTTTACTATTTAATTTTTATAATTTTTTAAAATTATATTATTTTAATTTTTAAAAAAAACAAACTTAATTTATTTTTAAAGTATTTAATTTTTACGATATTTTAAGAAATTGTACTAAAATATAATTTTAAAAAAACATCGTATATAATTTATTATTTTTAAAAAAAAATTACCAAAAATATTTTTCATTAAAATTCTCTTTTTATCGGATTAATCATTTATTTTTGTTTGATTATTTATATATCTACATTTTTTTTTAGATTTATCAAATGAATTCTTTGTTTTATCAATCAAGAGAACTAATTCTCATTCTCTACTCAATTTCATTTTTCTCCAATTCTATCATCTACTTTCATTTATATGCAATTTCATTCTTCGTACCAAACCACTTCCTAACTCTAACTCTATAAGTATCAAGGGTTTGTTTCTTTTGTGAATATATTTAAACACCTTCTGTAAACAAAATTAATATATACAATTTTTCACACATAACATTAAAATTAAAAAAATAAAATAAAATCCTTTAAACTAAAACACAAAACAATGACACTCTAAATAACTTTTACATATAAATATTTTATATATAACATAAATATATATTGGACTTGGACAAACGCCCCTCTGGTCCAAGCCTTAGTTCAAACAATTTTTGGCTCAATTATTTAAATTTAATTCTAATTTATTTCTAATTACAAATAAATATATATATAATTATACAAATATTGCAAATTGTCATACAGCCCAACAATTTTATACCAATATAGTAAAATCACTATACAATGTGTGGCAATATTTTGTAAATTTTTTTTTATTTTTTTAATATCGTGGGAACCCACAACTCCTACTTTTCATGTGTGTTCTGGGTAAACTTTCGGCCGAATCTAATAACCTACAAACTAAGTCTAACAAAATAAATCATATTAGGCGAAACATATGCGGCATACAACATTGAATTCGAATGCTGTGTTGATTTCGGCTGACAAAATTTCTTATAAATATTAGAATTTCGATTGTTCGATTCATCCCACAACTCTCAGCCCGCTAAATTTTCTATAACCACCGTAATGACATATCAATTAAATGTATTTATCTTTTATGGTAGCAATATTATTGAAAATTAATCGTGAAAATATTCGTTACAAAATGTCTTCTACATTTTATTCATCTATATTACGGAATATAAATTATTCCAAGTTGGTAAAAAAAAAATTAAGTTAATATACTGATAGCAATTAATATTTTATTACGGTGCATGTGTTAAGACATGGTCTGTTAAATTTCAATAAGTTGAATTAGTCTTAAGTTTGTTTAGCTAATTTTTAGAAGTATTTGATTTGTTCCTATTTTCCAGTAATTATAATATCATTTTAGTTGCTGATTTTTTGTATTCGTTGCATATCGGCCTATATAAAGGCTATTTAGTCATTGAATAAAAAAAAAAAAGTTTTCAAGCTTCAATCTAGATCAACGGCATGATGTATTTACGATCTTGGATTTTAAGTTGGGATTTGAATAGTAAAATTTTTGAATTTGAATAGTTGTATAATGTGATATAAATAGGTGTTGATGTGATGTTTTGAATGTAAAATTGATTTTTAGTATAATATAACTTTAATTTTAGTTGTATTTATGTAAATTTTTATTAAGTTTAAATGGTATTTTTTAAATATATTACTCTAAAAATATTTTGTGCCTAATTATTAGCCCCAAAAAGGATTTTTGTATTGTATTCGGATTGAATTTTCAACTTGTGTTTATTTTACTAGTTTAATCTAACTAAATAAAAGGCCTTACTACTTGTAACCACACAAGAGATGCAATGTTAGCATATAGAGCTAGCAAAAATTGACCTGATATGATAATTCGATACGAACAAATTGAATATGGGTGAGAGATTTCTACCCGATTATGTATATGATTAATACGAATCTGACTCGATAATAAATAGGTTGAGTTATGATTGAGGCCCTTAACTTGAACCCGACAAGACAACTTGATTCTAATATATTAATATTAATTAATGTATTTATTATATATGTAAAATAATTTTAATTTAATAATTAGTCTACATATTAATTTGAACTAAGTTCAATCTTAAATAATCCAACATAATTCACTGACACATTACACTAGAATCGGAAAAAGTTAACATATCATGAGAACCTGACAAACAAAGTTGGATTTGAATCAAGAATTTCGACTCAATTATCTAAACGAATCAACACGAACTCGATACGATAATAAACGGATCAACACGAATCCGACATGATAATAAACGGATCAACACGAACCCGATACAATATTAAATGGATCAGATTATGATTTAATTATTTAACCAGTTTAAAGTATTCAACGCAATACGAACTATCTCATTGTCAGGTCTAGTTGCATATATCATATATCCATGCTGACCACAAATATCATGACGATATGGTGTCACGAATGTTGATGTTAGTAATATTTAGAATATATATCCTTAAATATTTTAAAAATTATATCTCAATAAAATATAGTCATATAAATATTATTTTTAAAAAAATAAACTTTTATATAATACAAATATATATTAATTTTTATAAAATATGAAAAATCTTAAATATAGATAAAATATTTATTAATAAAAAATAAAAAATAAAATATTTTGAGTGAATTCTATATATAATCTATAATGTTATATTTTAAAAAGTTAACTAAATTGATTATATTTATTAAATATATTTTAAATTAATAAATTTTATTAAATATAGAAAAATACTACTATCATGTAAAGTAGAATAAACAAAAGAAAAAGTCAATTGTTTTGAAATAGAAGAGTAATATTTTTTTTATGTATTCAAAAAAATAGATTTCAATGTACATTATTAGTTTTTTATATTATCAAACTACTTATAAATAATAATTCAATATACATTATTATTTTTTATACTATCGATTTATCACAGACAGAATTAATTGGAATTAGTGTAAAATTAATTATATATTATGGGTTAATTCATCTAAAATTTTCGCATACTATCGTACTCTCGTATCAACTTTTAAAATTAATTTATTTGTTCAAATTATTCTTGTGTAATAATTTAATTTTTTTTTTATATCCAACTTATCGGTAATAAAAATTAATTTTATATTATGGGTTAATTCATCTAAAATTTTCGCATCTCAAAATATTTTTTTCTTTATTCTCTATATAAAATTTTATTTTCTTAACACCTCCCTGCTAATTCCCAATTACTCCCTTTCATATATTTCTACACTCATTTCATATATTTTTTTATTTACCTTACTATCGTACTCTCGTATCAACCTTTAAAATTAATTTATATGTTCAAATTATTCTTATGTAATAATTTAATTTTTTTTTATATCCAACTTATCGGTAATAAAAATTAATTTTATATTATTATTTTATATCAAATTACTCCAAATCCTATGTTATTATTTTATGGAATTAGTGTAAAATTAGTATTACATATATAATCATATTAAATTTCTCCCAATCCTAACTTATTATTTTATACTACAATAAAATATAAATGAATCGATAAAAGTGAAACAACCTAAATTTCCCTTTCATGTATATAGATCAGAACAATACCAAAAAAAAGGTGACAATTCTATTTGGTAATAAGATCAAATGATCCATCACCATCACACTATATCTCTATCCTCTCTTCTTTCCTTCATATGTACAAAAAAACATCGACAAACTATCTATACTCACTCTACTTCTACTCTCATTTTGCTGTCCGATTTCGAAATCGAAGTCGGAGTCGAAGTCGAAAGCCCCTTAAGCATCCGCATAACTTCAAACGAGTCGTCGAGATAATACTTGGCCATGCTCGGCTTCTGCCCCACCGTGCACGCAAACACCTCCGCCCCCTCCGCCAGCCCCTCCCCACACCTCCCCACCGCCTCGAACATATCCTCGTCCGACCTGTCGTCGCCCACACACAGCACAAAGTCCGCCGCCTTCCCCCTCTTCCGCATAGCCGAGACAAGATTTTGCACCACCACGCCTTTGCTCACGCCCTACGCGCACACGCATTGTTTCGTTACAATAATAAGATGTTAAGCTCAAAGAAATACTACCTCTGTCCAGCTCCAAGATCTCATTTACATTTTGCATGTTGATCTTTGAATAGTAATTTTTATATGAAAACGTAGTACAAATTAAAGAAAAATGACAAAAATACTTCTGCTAAAAAATATACAATATAAGAATATTTTTAAAGTTAAGTACAATGGTAAATGATTCTTAGAGCCGGACGGAGGGAGTATGCATTATTAAAACTTTTAGGTGAGATGATCATTTAATGATCTGACCTGAGGTTTCACTTCGACAATTTGCTGGCCACTTTTGACGACCACGGGGTCGTTGGCGAGGACGCTCTCAAGGTGATCGAGAAGCTCCTTCGCCTGCCACAACCCGAAGTCGGGATCGGCTTCTTGATGATGCCAAACCAACGCACTCTCCTTCTGCTCGATCGACGAACCGTCCGTCGCCTCCGTGTAATGCTCCATCACCGGCAACACAATCTTTTTCCAGTCCAAATCGATCGCCAAATCGCTCGACTCCCACTCTGAATTCTTGCTCCATCTACAAACAACACCAAATTAGTTCTCGATTCGACGCCTAGATTAAAGCTTCGCCGTTTAAAAAGAAATGTAATACACACCTATTTAAGTAACCGTGCTCCGCCGACAAACCGAGCCCTTGGCATTCCAAGAACCATTTCGCGAGCGAATCCTTCCCTCGTCCGCTAACGACAAACACGGTATTGCTCGGATCGTCGCAAAGACTATTCAAGACAGAGATAACCTCTGGGCTCGGAGACTTGTCGACCCTATCCGGAGGCATCATGGTACCGTCGTAATCAAGAAGGATAAGCCGGCTACGGCTCGTATTGTAAGCCCGAACAATGTGCTCAACCGATAGCTTCCGAAAATTCGGCCCCAATGCCACGACCCTCGAGCTCAACCCGAATCCGATACCCCAACACCGTTTTCGGTAATGATCCGAGCACGCCCGTTCGAGATCTTGGTCGAAACTCCGAGCCCAATACGCTACGTCGTGCGATGCCACGTACTTGTAATGCTTCTCGTGGCGCAACTCTTTCTCCATTTCCGACATTATCATTACTGAAGCCATGGCCTCCGCCATGCGGTCGATGTCCCATGGATTCACGCGGATGGCGCCGCTCAACGACGGCGAGCATCCGATGAACTCGGAGACGATGATTGCGCTCTTTTTGGGACCCGTTTCGACGAGTCCTAATGATTTGTTCAATTCCGGGGTGCCCTGCCTCGCCACCGTGTATTTATACGGCACCAAGTTCATTCCGTCCCGGACGGCGCTCACCACAACGCATTCAGACACGGCGAAGTAAGAGACCTTGTCCTGAAAACTCACCGGCCCGTTTATACAGACAATCGGTCGATACCCTTTCTCGCCGTACCGAGCATTGATCGTGCACACAACGTTGTCGATATCTGTCTGAACTTCGCGGATATCGTTCCCGCAGCTCCGAGGGGCGTTCATGATCTGTACCAATACTACATTTCCTCTGTACATATGATTCTGCTCCAAAAGCAAACCGAATGCCGAAAGCTTCAAACTTATCCCTTTGAACATGTCCAAATCGTCGACGCCGAGGAACAACACCTTCCCCTCGTACTTCTTACACAAATCCTTGATTTTGTCGGCAGTTTCCGGCAGCGACATCACCGATCGGATCTGTCCCATGTGGATTCCGACAGGGAGGATTTTGATGCTTACAGTTCTGCCGTAGTAATCCAGTCCGATGTAGCCTCGCCTCGACTGATAATCGAGGCCGAGCATTCGGCTGCAGCAGGACAAGAAATGTCGGGCGTAATCGAATGTATGAAATCCGACAAGATCGCAATTCAAAAGTGCCCGGAGAATCTCCTCCCGGACCGGCAATGTCCGGTAAATTTCCGACGACGGGAAGGGGCTGTGGAGGAAGAATCCGAGCTTGATGCGGTGGTGGCGTTTGCGGAGGAATGTCGGGAGGATCATGAGATGGTAATCGTGAATCCAGACATAATCCTCGTCGGGATTGATCACTTCCATTACTTTGTCGGCGAAAACCTTGTTGGCGGAGACGTAGGCCTGCCACGTGGCCTTGTGGAAGCGGACGCCATGGTCGGGACTCAACGGAAGCATGTAGTGAAACAGTGGCCATAGGTAGTGCTTGCAGAAGCCGTGGTAGAATCGGTTCAGTAAATCCGGCGGTAAGAATGTCGGAATACATCCGAAGTTCTCGAAGAGGCGGTGGGCGACGGCGTCCTGATCCGTTGGATCGATTTCGACGCTTAAAGATCCGACGTACAGGATTTCGACACCTGGCGGAAATCCGTCCCTCAATTGCAAAATTAGGGCTTCTTCATCCCAATCGAATTCCCAATTGTTATCACTACGGACGGCTTTCAGCGGTAGCTTGTTCGCCACCACTATCCGCCGCCGCTCCGGCAAATCGGAGTCGGCGCCGGAGCCGGCATTGCTCGAATCGTCGAAATCGGAAATGATTCCCGGTACGGAAATCAAACGAGGCAGACGCGGCGGCTGCCGATCGCTCGAATAGTCGTCGAGGTTCAACAGATCGAAGCACGATCTCGACAGCATACCGAAAGAAATAAACAAATAAATAAATAAATAGATCGACGCACCGGCGGAGAAGAAGACGGCGACAAACTCCGATTCCTTGAAAACAGGGCGGCGCTCCGGCGAGGTGCAGTAATGGCGGTCGACGATTCCTGAATCTTCGCAATTAGGGTGAAGTCGAATGAGGGAAATAGAAGAAGAATTTTGTAATCCTGGAAATTTGGATTATCATATTTAACGCGAGGAACGGCGAAAGGGAAAGGTCTGAAATTCTATTAAGGAAGGAAGGTGGTTCTGGTTATGGCAGACGGATAAGAACGGCGGACCGACCGCCTTACTGAATTTAACGGCCACGATTGACATCAGATATTAATTCCTTTTTCTATTTTTTTTAGCAAAAAAGATTTCTTTTAAAATTAACGCATGGTTAATACGTATAGTCGTGTTGTTACAAAACGCTTTTAGGTGTGCTTGTTTGGGGTTTTGGATTTTGAGTTGGGATTTAAATAGTAAAAATTTTGAATTTGAATAGTTGTATGATGTGATATAAATAGGTGTTGATGTGATGTTTTAAATGTAAAATTAATTTTTAGTATAATATAAAAAATAAAAAATAGGTGTTTGATTTGATGTTTTTAGGGAAAAAAAAATAGGATGAATAGTGGAAATCTAATCCACTCCCCAAACAAACACACCCCAATATATTTTATCGGTCTCTTAACAATCTATTCATTTTTTTATTTTGGTCCGTCTTATAATAAAATATTAATTTTCTTTTTAATAATTGTACTATCAATCTAATATTACAAATACTTTTTCAATTTACAATATATTACACAAATGTCATTATATTTATATCATATAATACTAATAGTTTAATTTAGTCTTTTTACTTTTATTTCTACTTTATTCCAATATAATACTAATATTTTTAAAATTCAGTCGAAAAAGCGAATGAATATATAGAAATGAGACAGAGAGAGTATATTCCTTTCATTTATATAAAATATACTTTTTTATTTTGATATGTTTTATATAATTTATTATTTTTAGAAAAATATAATTATAAATTTTAATGATATTTTAAATTTTTTAATTTTAATTAAATTATTTAATTATATATCAATTTTAAATTATAATTATATTTATTATGTAATAATTATTTTATTAATACATTATTTATTTATTTATTTATTTATTTATTATATTTTATCTAATTTTTTATATTTACAATAATTTAGATAAACAAAAAAAATTTGGAATAAGAAAGAAGAACTTAATTTTTAATTTAAAATATTATATTAAATATCATCACTTTTTATTTTTAATTATTCATTTTATCATTTTAGTATCTTAATTTTTTATAATATGTTTGTTTGCCTTTTTTTAATAATTGTATTTTTTATTTTAATAAAAATTATCTACTACAATTAAAAAGTAAATAGATTTAAAGGTATAAATATCTTTTTATTCTTTTATTGTATAATTATCTATAAAATACTAATATTTTAAAATTTATATTCAAAAAGTAAGTGACGATTACATTTCTAATTAATGGAGAGAATATTTGTTTTCATTTAAATTTTATTTTTCAGTGATAATTATTTATCTTTCACGATTCAATTTTATGTATAATTTTTTTAAAAAAAATTATTATACTAATTAATTATCTTAATTTTAATATATAATTATATTTATTATACGATAATTTTTTTTACTAATATATTTTTAATTATCTAGTAATTATATCCTTCTAAATTTTTAAATCTACATAAAAATAGACACCATAGTCCCGAGGAGGAAGTACTATTCAAATTTAAAATCATATCTCTTGTGTCTATGTTTATTTTATTTTATTTTATTTTGTGAATTTTGAAAATTTTATTTGAATTTGTTGTTAAAATCATAGTATTTTATCGACTATTTTATGAGATTTTTTTTTTTTTTCAAAAAGGTGATTTCAAATAATAAAATTTTAAAAAAAAATTGACAAAAGAAAACCTTTTGTTGACATTGATTTAATTTTTTATTCTTTTGGTACATGAAATCTTGTAGCACCTAGGTCATTAGGAGTGTTTGTTTCTATATGGAACAAAAATTATTGGGTTCATTTACTTGTCGAGTTTTATACCTGATTTTACTATTATAATTTTTTTTTTCAAAAACATCAAATCAAACATTCAATTTTTATTTATTTTATTATACTAAAATTTAATTTTAGTATCAAAACATCACATCAACACATATTTATATCACATCAAACAACTATTTAAATTCAAAATTTTACTATTCAAAATCAAAACTCAAAACTAAAACATCACAAGTAAACATCGATTTGTAGGATTTTTACTAAAAATATTATATTTTTTTATATAAATAATTATATAATAAAATAGGAATAACAATGAGTCGGGTTTAGCCGGAGCCAAGACCGGACTCGAATAGATATTGTTGGACCTAAGACCTGATTTGAATTCGGCTATACCTAGACCCGACTCTAATAATATCCGATAAGACTCGATGGATCCGACAGACTCAGAAAAAACTTTACAATTCTTAAATTTTAATTTAGAATTGGACTGAACACGGACTCGATATATATTAAAAGTTATATATTTTATTCAAAAATATTATAATAAATAAAAAATATTTTTAATATAATTTATATCATTAAAAATAGCTGTAATACATATAATTGATATATTATTAATATATTAATCAGATTCGAATAGAATTTACTCTTAGATCCGAAATTTTATCTGAACTCGATAAAAGTACACAATTTCCGACCCATACTCAAATCAACTCGACCTGACCCCAAATAAATGGATCGTATCTCAAATCTAGTATATATTAACATAGTATATAAATCAAAACTAACTCAAAACTTTAATATCAAATCAAAAAAATTAAATAAACCCTCAATTAAGCTTATTAATATTAGCCTCCTAATAAATAAGTAGAGTAGATTTGTATTACTAATAAATATTGCACATTAAAATTATTAGGCACATTGCTATATATATACTAGATCTTTAAATAGGTCTCATCAATTAGGCACCTTAAAAGAACCAAAATATCAAACATATATATCATTAATTATTATATATAATTAATTGATATTATTATTATTATTATTATTATTATTATTATTATTATTATTATTATTATTATTATGAATGTTGCATGATAAGTTTTTAATTATTAAATTAATTCAAATTTTATTAACTATATTTAAAAAGTTTTATAAAATTGGTGCAAAAATAGCTTGGAATAATTTAGATAAAAATAATAGTTGCAGATAATAGGTTTAAAGAAAAATGTATTATAAATTGAATAAAATTATAACGTTTGTTTTTTGTTTTGCAATATTTTTATTAATTATTTACTGTGCAACATCTTAAATTAAATAAAAGAATTACAACCTTTTCTTTTGTTTTTTTAGGTGCCTTTGTTTGTATTCTAAATAAAAAAATATTATTATTGATCTCGCACAATTATTAATAAATATATATTACTACATTCGTCCGGTTCAAATATTTCATTTACTTTTTGCGAGTTGATATTTGAATATTAATTATAATATCAAAACGTAATACAAATTAAGAAAAAATTACAAAATACTTTCATTAATGTCTTACAATACTAATAGAATGATATTTTTACAAAAAAATTATACAAATATAATGATATTTTTAATATTAAGTACAATGATGCAAAAGATAAATGTGACCTTGTATTTTACTAGTTGATGAGAGTTCCTTCGGAAACAAAAAAGGTCATATAATATTTAAATTTCAATTTCAAATCAAAATCAAACAAAACCCATATTTTGTAGTATTTTTTTGTTTACATATATTTCTTAAATGAAATAATTGTTGAGTATATATGAACTTTGTGTTTGTTCACAACTTTGTTTTTAAATGATACAATTATCTAAATATTATAAAAATATATATATAATATATACACATATTAACATAATATATGAACTATATATTTTATCCATTCAAAAAAAGTCATAATTCAACACAAAATTAATAATTCTTCAGTTTCAAACACCGCACAATATTTGATTTCGGCACGAAAATTTAGGTGGGTATTACTAAGTATGGTAAGTTGGGAATTAGGTGATGGAATGAGAGAGAAAATTGTATATTTATTTATTTTTTGTTTGGTGATATGGTGGGATAAAGTATGAAATAGAGATTAAATATATTTTATTATTTTTTATTTTAGAAATATTGTAGAATGTTTGAAAGAAATAAAAAAAAATGTTGTAGAATGTTTTGTACAAATGGAGTATTATTTTTTAAATTACCAACAATAATGTATCATATCCTATATATAATTATAGCAAAGGGTGTGGACTCACTTTCTTTAAAAGTTTTGAAATCCTGCAATCTAAGAATTTTTTTAAAAAAAAAATCTTTTTTTTTAAATTTTGATTTTTGTACAATTTTTTAAAATTACAATCACTATTTCATTATTTTCTCTTATTAATATTATAATTAACAATTTTTATTATATAAATTTTCATAAATTTTTTATATTTAATTACTTTATTTGTTTATTAGATTATAATTCATAAATAAATTAATAATATTTTAGTAACAAACATATGATATTCTATATCCATTTTTTAAATAATTTTATTTAAATTTAAAAATTTAAAAAATCTAATGAATTTTAAATTAATTTTATATGTATATCGGTGTTTTCAATTTTTTTTATTTAATTTACTTCTTAATTTAATTCATTTTTTTATTAATAATTATATTTATATTCATATTTGTATGGTTATATTAATGAAAAATAAAATATATTTATAAGTTAATTTAATAAAATAAAAAATACAGATAAAAGTGATAGAGGGTAATACGGTTAGAAAAAATGGGTAGTAAGATGATATAGTTTTCATGATATATATTCTATCTATATATATTTGATGTATTTGAGATCAATGTCAAATTTATTTTGCTTTGGAATTATGTTTTATATACGGGTTCTTTGACGAATTTTGATCATTCTTATTGTTCATATTTTCTCTATTTTTTGTTTAATAATTTATTTTTTTTCTATTATTTTGCAGAAGCAAAACGTTTGAAGATGGAATGTGCTACTACTTGAATAGTCTTCCCCGCCGGAATGTTGACATATGTTAATCGACCAATCGATTGCTAATGTAATTTATCTTTCGTTCTATTTTTTTGTTTTTTTTCCTTTTTGATTTATTCTATTTATTTGTTGATATATGTTAATCGAACAATCGATTGCTACTGTAATTTATCT